GGGGCCGCGGCCCCCCGACAGCCCCCTCCCTGCCGAGCACGCTTTGCAGTCTGCGTGGAACCAGAGAGCCGCTGCCCCTTCGCAAAGCAGTTCTTAGCTGCCGTGCCTTTAACGTCGCCTTCCTGTGCCCCCTTCTCCTCTGGTGAGCGGGTACTGCTGCCGCCTGGGGTGCGGGGCGACAGGCCCGCCGGGGTCTGCAGAAGGCCGCAAGCTGCTGCCGCCTCTCGGACCCCCCTTGCGAAAGGGACGGTGCTGCCCCGGGGTCTGTAGGGCTGTGGTGCCTGCTGGCCTCTCCTGAAGAAAGGCACTTCTTTACGCTTTTTGGGGGTTTTGGTTTGGTTTTGGGTTTTTTTTTTAATAAGCTAAGTTGGAAGCGTTCTGTGAGAACTGGACTTGGGTTCTAGGTGAAGTTCGGCTATGCTTTATCATCAGCTCTGAAGAGGCAGCATTCACAATCAGGAGTGTGTAAAAATGTGTTTAGAGAATAGCTGGAGACAAAATATAACGACTGGGTTATTATTGGGAAGTGTCTGAAGAAGCCCTCAATTACTCCCTAGCTTAGCTCCGCTTTCTCTTTTCCCCAGGAGTAATTAAATTATGAGTACTGTACAACTGAGTATCCTCCTGGATTTCAAACTGCTATTAACTGCTATTTAGGGAGCTTGCAAATCTGCCAAACACACATATCTGACATCTTTACACATTACTAGCAATGTCTCGTTATTTGACATCCAAGAACATGCAGCAGCCAGAGCACATGGATGTTCACAGCAGCTTGGCAGTTGGAGAGGCAGAGAATCTGTGGGAAGTCTCCCAAGTTCCAGGGAAAGCTTGCTTTTCCTCATCTGTGCTGTGGAGCTATTCTTAATGAAGTTGATTTCCCTTTTAAACCATTGACTATTTCTATTTGCACATTTTTACTCCAGAATAAGAGATTAAAATAAGAAAAAAGAGTGTCCAGACAGGAGTCTCAAGCTACTGATTCCTTATTCCTAAATATCTTGCACCATTGCAGTTTTATTTCTAGCTAGACAAACACTAAACCTTTTCAAAAAGGTATGATGTCAAGGTTCCAAGTTAACTGTTCTGTGAAAATAACATCTTCACTGTAACTTTTCCAAACGGTAGTAACTAGTATGTGGGTAGTAATCTAAGAAAGGATATGAAGTTAGAGGCAAGGAATTGTTACAAGAACATAAATCACCTTTTTAATATTATTTTCTTTGCTCCTCATTGGCAACTTAAATACTATAAGAAGAAAAGAGATGTCATAGCAATCTCCTTATCTTGTTTTCAGGTGCAAAGCATTCAATGCCACAAAAGAAAAGTGTTGTTTGCATTTTTCCTCAACATGAAAAAAAAATCTCTATGCAAGACTGTATATAATGAGGGAGGGAACCGTCTTGTGTTGGTCTAGCTCAAACACCATTGTCCTTTTGAGCTGAAAATGTAGTTATGAAATACTTCAGTGTCAGAAGACATAGCTTATTCGGTGAAGGGTATATGCTAATATGGCACAGCCAGTCCAGGTGTGAAAATAACTGAAGACCACTGACACTGTTGCCTTTTGCCTTCCCAGCAATGGCAGGAGGAGTTCAGGTTTTGTGGCCAGTACCTTTCGTTGACGACATCCAGTTGTTCTAGCCACTGGTGGAATTGCTGCTTCTGGTGATCAGGCTCTTACTGGGACAGAGTATTTTGCTGGGGATTTAAGAAAAATGGCAATTATTGTAAGATTAAAAATATGGTCATGAGGATTGGCAACATGCACGTTATTCTGCTGCATAAATGTTAAGTAATAGCAGCCCAAGAATATCCACATGCTTTACATGTGTAAAGTGTGTTGTGTGGCAGGAGGCCAAAGCTCAAGTCTTCAGTCATCTGGGAAGTGTAAGTCGCCTGTCTAATTCCTACCACTTTTTAAACTGTTTGGTTTTCTGTAATAGCTGCAGGGTTTTGGAGCAGGGTATAGCACAAGATCAGGTGGTTGACTCTGAATTGCCTTGTTTAGACTTGCTACCACATAGTCCTTGATCTTGTAAGAGAACTTTTGCATGTGTGAGTCCAACTGCACTTACAATATTCACATATAGTTTTAAATTCCATGTTAAACCTAATTTTTCAGACATGGTTTTAAAATACCGTGTTCAAACGCTTTTTTTTTTTTTAACATCTGACTTATTTTCCTTATCTTGAAATGCATTTTGGGATGAAGCTTAACAACACCTATAAGGTTTTCGTTGCAATGTTTACGAATGCTTGAAAGTTTATGCCTAAAAGCTGCCTAAGTAGTGTGCTTTGATGTTTCTCCCTTTTTAGAGGGTAGCAAAACCCTGTTCAGCTGCAGAGTACCAGAATGGCAAAGCTTACTTGAAACATTATTTGCAACTTTTTTTTTTAACTTTAAAATTATTTTCAGTGATGGCTACGAAGTCTAATAACTTCACCAGTATAAGCTGAATATATCTAATAGGCTAAGGTCAATTCTCAGCGTATGAATACGTGTTCTTTTTTAAATTGGTTTAGGTCCAATGATGACAGTTCTCTTGAGAGGCAGGCTGTTTCTGCAGAAAACTTGGTCCAGCATTTAATGCTACAGATACCTGAAGTCTCATGAACAGAAAAAGCAGGTTTCTCAATGACTAGCAAGGTGAGTCCTAACTTTACAGTGAATGATGCTCTATGAAAACAAACTTTGTGAAACTTCATCAAGATTCAAAAGTAGTTTGATGCATAATAAGGGTGGCTCCAACCAGTTACATTGCAGAGAGGATATGTTGCCAGCCCTTCCGAGCCCTGTCCCCATGTGTGTAGAGTGAAGAACATCAAAAATCTCAGCCACAGACATCAGGCCTTTGGGGACTGTTGTCTGTGAGATGTTAAATAACTTTGGATGCTCTTATACCTCAGTATTCTTCCTGTTTTCTGAATCTGCTGTGCATCTGAGATGATCCAAACGGTCTTAGAAATTTTCACTGTCTTCCCCTGTTACTGGTTCTACATCTGGCTTTAAATACTAAACAGGTGAACCTACTATTATAGTACTTACTTTGTTGTTTGTTTTTTTTAAACAGTGCATTTGGTCTGGCTTTTTTCCATAATAGCTTATTAACCTTCAGAAGACTTAAATTATCATCAGAATGAGTGGAAAAT